ATAACACTGTAAATTCATCAATCTCACCTGTCCTGAGTGCTCTACATGGCTGTCTCTCTAACATTCCCCTAAAACAGCACTGAGAATCCAGCCCACAGCCCACTACTCACATTACTTCTCACGCTGTCCTCCTGCTCATTACATCCTTTCCTGGTTCTCACTGTTCTGATTCCTCACCCTAACTCAAGCTCCCTACATTGACTACAGCTCCCCTAGCTGTGAAATCGATCTAGAAAAGTTCCATGACCCCAAGCACCTTCTGCAACACGATTTTGTGTTTTCCCGGGGGCTTCACATGGATATCCGCCTCTTTTCCAGTCCCAGGGCTTGTCCTCTCTGCATATTCGTGCCAGCCTGTGCCTTCTCTGCCAGGGATGGGCTCACACACACAGCACAGAAATAGTCAGCACCTCCCCATGCACCTACAATACTCCACTCTCCAACAGGGGAACTGAATTCTAACAACAACTTCCTCCAGGAGAGATGCCAAAGTTGAAGACTTTCCTAATTCACCTCTTTTTTTCCTACTGCTTTTGCTAGCACTATCTTCTTTTCAATGATTGCTCCTCTCAGAGGAGCAATTATGCTCCTCTCATTTAAATAAGCAAACAAAACTCCAGAATGGAGCTGTCCAGCTACTCAGGCTTTGGGGCCACTGACTCCCTCTGCACAGAGGGAGTGCCAGTGTTCGGGATTCCTTCAAGCCAGCTCTATCCAAAGCTGAATGCGTCCTCTTCCAGGAGATCTCCTGAAGCAGAGAAAACCACACACAATCTGGCTTGTTCTGCCACCCTGTGACTGTGTCGGAACAATACACTTGGCCTTAACATGTGAAAGGGAGACAGGGCAAAGAAAAGAATAGTAAAGGAAGAAGTGCAGACTAGAGAGAAGAAGGGCAAATGAATGGTAGAGGAAAAGACTAGTGACTCAGGGTAATAATATGTAGCCTAACAACCCCTCATAATTACTGAGAAATTGCATCTAATTAAATCCCCATTACCTGGGCCACTGTCCACCTCACCTGCCCAGCCTCCTGTGGCACTGAAGGAGTAATCTCTGTTCCATCAGGCAGTCCTGGACTCAGGGTCAACCGGAACCCAAACATGTTCTAAAAGGTCAGTGACCATGTTTTTATGTATTTTAAAACTGATCCTTCTGTGTGATCATTCACAAAAACTCTGAAAGTTTCAGTATTATCCCAAATTCCAGGTGAGGAAAGAGTGGCTACAAGGTGTTAAGTTACCAGCTAAAACTCAACAAGAGTTCAGGATTCTTGGATGCAGAATCTAAAAGCTACGCCTGACGCCTCAGTCTCTCTCCCACTCCCACAAGCCTCTCAGGAGACCCCTTGAGCACAATCTCCAGAGGGTTCTGGAGTATGCGTGACAATGGGGTAGCTCATGGCTACTTATGACATGAGGTTGAGGGAAAGCAGTGGAACAGCTGCAGGCAGGGACCTGGATCACTCTGCCTTCATTCAACAGCATCTCCTCCTGAACAGCTGTTCAGCACAGAGCTCAGTAATAGGCTCCTTGGCTTCCAGGAACCAGCCATCCCAGGGCCAGACTGTCAGACACATAAAGCAGGAATCTTTGGGGTAGAGGGCTCTGCAGCTTGACCCTGGAAATTATCCTCACCAGTACAAGACCCACAGCTCCCAGTGGGCTGGCTCCATTTCAGAAGCCCTGATGTCAGACCTATGGGGTTCCAGGAGTTCCTCACCTGGCTGGTTCCAGACCTGTTTGAGAAAGGCAGCTCTCTACAGCAAAGCAATGATTGGAAGAGGCCACCCTGGTTCCAGAAAGAGAGTGGAATACAAGCCACATGTGAAAACTCTTCCAAGCCTCCCCAGAGGTAGAACCATTCCTAAGGTTGGCACAAAGGCTCCACTTCATTTGATCCCAGGCTGCCCCTCTGCCGGTATCCCTAAAACATGAGGCTCTTTCTGTCCCTGTGCTGCCCTGCTTGGGATGTGTGTGCTGTATCTTCTCATCTGGGTAACTCCCAACGCCTTTCACACTCACTGTGAGCATCTCCTACTCAGACACACGTGACCTGACCCCAAGGCTTTGTTCTGTGCTGACCCCTGCATTATCAAACTCTAAGACCCCAATTCCCAAAGCCATAGAAATGTCAAACCTGAGTCCCCTAGGCCAGGTAAGAAGCTCATCTACCCACTGCAGAAGGGGGAGTCCCCACACACAGAGGATCCAGGCTCAGGACAGTTAGCTTGGTGAGGGGTCCAACTCTCAAAGCCAGAGTCCCCTAATCTCCTACAGTGCCTTTTGGCCAAAATCACTCTTAACCCCTCTCCTGTAGATTTTGAGAGGAACAGAGTAACTTACACCTTCGTATTTTTTCACTTCTCCTTCCCTCTTCTTTCTGCCTCTCCTAGAAACACTTTGGTGTTATCTCTGTGCCCAAGGTAATGAAACAGATGTTCTAATTGGAGTCAGATTGGTCAAAATCTGGAACTCAGCTTGGCATACTGATATATGTCTGTAATAGTACCTACTTAGGAGGCTGAGACAGGAGGATTGCAAGCTTGAGGTGAATGTAGTGAGACACTGTCTCAAAATAAAATTCTAAAAGGTCTTAGGATATAACCCAGTGGTAGAGTGCCTGCTGAGCATGCAGGAGTACCTGGGCTTAATCCCTGGTGCAGGAAAAGAAGAGCAAAAGCTAGAGCCAGGAATGATGAGGATGAGGCAAGAGTAGCAAAGCAGCCTCTGATAGGGTAAGAGTCTCACAAAATCCCTCCGTGGTGTCCATCATCATAGTTAGCTCCCTCTCCTCGGGTCCCCTCTCAAAAGGTCCAGTCATCTAGCAGAGATTCATGCTTGCCATGCCCATCGTGCCCAGTTATTTGCTGGGTAATGCGCATGGCCAGGGCTTGGCATCTGTCTTGCTGGAGGCAAAAATTAGACAATACTGCAGTGTTTCATCTTCCAGTCCCTGAAGGGAAGTTTATGGCCCAAATCCTCCTCCTCCATCCAAAGTGAGCCCTTCACTCACTCCAAGTTAAGTGAATATCAATGGAACAATGCCACATTGAGCACTGTTTTTCTTTCCTAAAAGAGGCCTACTTCTTTCCCTTTCTGGGATCTGCTACAGAAAGATGTAGTAGCTAATGTGCCACCTAACGTTCTTCCAGGGAACTGCATTAGGTCAGGAGATTTTTTTTTTTTCTGAATTATCTTTTGTCCTGAATCAGCCCCATCTACTAATTACTAATTGCTACTAATTACTTTTTTCCTAATAGAGATTTTTCCTCATTTCCTCATTTATCTCCAGCTAATAAGTGTTCAAAGTATATACCCTTCCAACTCAAGTTATACAATTTAAAAGTTATAGACACCATCTACAAAAAAAAAAAAAAAAAAAAAAAAAAAAACATGCTTTCTCTCCTGGCTTCCTGGCTCAAGGACCCCAACAATTTCTTCACTCCTCACACCTTGTACCGAGGACCAGGAACTCCTGTGGGACACAGCCACCAGGCAGCAGCTAGTGTGGACATATTACAATGCCAGCTTATTAATTCACCTGATTATTGCTCAGGAGATGAAAAATAAATGGGTTAAAAGCACATTCATTATCTTCATTGAGCTGTGGGATGAAATACTTATTTTGGAAATAATGATTCCAGGTAGGAGAGCAGTGAAAAATAGGGTCCATGAGAAGTGAGTGTTTCATTACTCAATTTCTAAAATGTGAGCACTTAGTGATTTTTCATTATCATACATTATTACAGTTCTATAAAAATCATTCCCAGGAAATCTGCACCAAAGTTTGAAGCCTTTCGAAATGAGCTAGAAGGCTCCATTTAGAAGACTTGTCACTAAAGAAATTAAACTTTATGTATTGATTTAGTCCTGCATGCCACAGATTCAGCCCTGCTCAGCCCTGTATGAGCGGTGCAGTGAGGAGGCTGCAGGCTCCGCTTGCACACGGCTGCCAAAAACAGCCACATTTTCACAAAGGTATGTCTTCTCTGTTTCTCAACTGGGAAAGCTGAGGTCCAGATAGTGTAAATAAAAGGGAAAAAACGTGAGGCACAGATAGTGTTGGTTGTATGGGGGTAGGGGGATGGTAGAGGTGCCCCCCATCTATTTTGATTTTCAACACAACCATTTCTCACTCTGCATTGCAGAGTTGTAGCATCTTCCACACTGCGCTCCATCTCCAGGGCTCCAGATCTGCACTACAAAGCATGAGCCTACTTGTTATACAATGTGCAGATCTCTCTTTCTCTCTCTCTCTCTCTCTCTCTCTCTCTCTCTCTCTCTCTCTCTCACACACACACACACACACACACACACACACACACACACACACACCCCTTTGAGAGGTTTTTGACCCCTGATCTCCTGTCAAAGGAGTCAGGGAAACTCCACAGCTTGTTAACAGCCTCAGGAATTTCCCGGTGCCTACCGAGAACCAGTCACCAGCACAACATCACCAATTGAGGTAGAGAGAAAAGAGAGTCCACACAGCCATACTAGATGACGGCGATGCTTTTCTATGTGTCTACATGTGGGCAGCTGTAAGTGTTTCACATACTGTCTTCACTGTATCTTCATTAAAAGGTCACTCTGAGAACATTCCTGGCACAGAACTTTTCAAACACTTAAGCACACAAGAATCATTTGGAGATGTGTTAAAATGCAAAGTCTGGTCCTGTAGATCTGGGGCAGGAGCCCGAGGTTGTGTATTTCTCAGAAGTAGGGATAAGGTTGATTGTGCAGTTCTGAGGGCCATTTTTTGAATAGCACAAGTACCAGAGCACAGTTTGGAAACTACAGACCTGAGCATTGAAAAGCCCAGAGCTAGGAGCACCTCATCCATGATGGGGCCCACACGAAGCATTAACCAACTAAAGATATTTCCTATATTACTGCTGTATGAACACATATAATAATGACGTGAACCACACAAGAAAAAACCTCTGTAGAACGTGTTCTGAAAGAGCACAGATAAGGAGTGAATCCTGATTTACTCACGGGAGAAGCGGGCAAGCGGTCTAGCATTCTTGTCTCCAGCTTCATTTGCAACTGAAAAATAACACAGAGGATGCAATTAAGATCAAGGCAGATGTGTCCACAGAACATGCCCAGGCTACTGCTAATCCGTTAGATGCTTTGGCATTAAGCTATGTTTACGTCTTCAGGTAAATACAAGTAACTTTCCCTTTTCTAGATTTCCAATGCTGCTTTCAACACTTAAATGAGGTCAATGCCTCAATCATTTCATTTGCAATATTTGAATAAGGCTAGAGAAGACCAAGAAAAAAAATCCAGTCTAATATGCGTAGAGAGGTGAACTGGCTTTTTCATCTACTTAGCAAGAGGCCAAGCATCAGATTTCCACACAAGAGCACAACCTTCTGCTCCAGGTTGGCCCGGATGAAGTTGGTCTTGCACACAAAATTGCACACCGAGATTCTGAAATGCATCCAGTGTTCTCCAGCCAAGACAACAATTTCATAAGATGATAACTAATTTGCGCTTTGTTAAGAAGAATATTCAATTTGGATGTTAACAAATAGGATAGGTACTGAAGGAGAATTTACAGAATTATTCAGAAAATGGTATAAATCAAATGTTGGGCATAAATCTTCTAAGAAGGGCAGTTTACTTGCTTAGATGAACCTTTCTATAATTCATCATAGTGTACACTGGGTCACAATTAGTATACCTTATAATTTAGGAACCCATCTTTGTAGGTTAAAAAAATCAGTTATTAAATAGAAACACAAATGCTACACACTGTAAATACCACTTTTGACGCCTATAAGGCACCTTGTTACATGTACTCATGGAAGACAGATGTAAATATTTGTAATTTACTTGAATGAACACCCAAATCAATCAAAAAGAAAAACCAGCTCATATTTAGCTCAGAAGAAATATTAAATCCACAGACAGAATGGAGGAGATTGCTACTTAATTGTGACAGTGTAAGAATCATGATTGTAAACAAAAGAAATACTAATTTCTTGAACTTATTACACCATTTTACAACAAATGAGTCAAAAATGTCCTTCACACTCCCTGAGAGATAAACATGTTAAACGTATGCACCTTTGGATAATTTTTAACAGTTAATGAATGCAATCTCTACCTCTTTTTATATTCCTGACATTATAGTCCTCCCAATGTGGGGTCTCACTCAGCTCTTTGTGAATTACTGACAAGACATTACTCCAGAAGGCCTGCAGGGGGAGCTCCCGCCATCTCCCCCATCACAGCATTTCAAAACAGAAACAAGTCCAACTCATACACTTATAAAACCGAAGTTACAGAGAGAGACAGAGACATAGAGAGAGACAGAGAGACAGACAGAGACACAGAGAGAGACAAAGAGACAGACAGAGAGAGATGGAGGGAATGAGGATGTAGAGCAAGAGAGAGAAAGAGAAAAGAAAGAAAGAAAGAAAGGAAGGGAGGAGGGGAGGAAGGGAGGAAAGGAGGGAAAGAAGGAGGGGAAGGGAAAAGAAAAAAAAAGGCAGAGGAAGAAAGAGGAATAAGTCCATTAGTCATGGATGCAAGTTTTCCTGAGTTCAAACTACTTCCTCTTTATACATCATAGATCTCTAAAGATTAAAATAGAACAGGTAGGTTTGTTTGTCCTCCTCCCAAACTCCACTTGCAAAAACTGATGGACTGGCTTCAATGAAGGGATCACACAGGCCTTTGCAATAACTGAAGTGTAAGCGGCATAATCAAGGACACTTTTCTGAAGTCTGTGGCTCCACCGGTATCTTAAAGGATGTTACAGACTAGACAGGTGAAAAGTTGGAAAGGTTGTTCCCAGGGACGGGGGTAACTGAAGCAGTAGAGAGGAGGGAGAGGGTATGAAGGGAGTGTTTGAGGCTGGCCCAGCTAGTGCTTGTTAATGGACACTGGATTGTGCTCTGGGACATACAGTTTCTAGAGTTTGGATACTGAATGTCCCTCAAAGCCCCATGTGTTAAAAGCTTTGTCCTCAGAGTGGTGCTATTGGAGAGACTGGGAATCTGTAGAGGTAGGACCATGGGGGTATTCTTTAGGTCACTGGAGCCTTGCTCTTGAGGTAGATTTTGGTCCTTGGCCCTCTACTCACTTTGGCTTTTGCTTCCTAGCTGTGTGGTAGCAGTTTTGCTGTACAAAATATTCCCCACCATTACCATCAGACCCCTCAACAAAGGCCTAAAAGCAATGATCATGGAGTTGAATCTTCAAACCAGGTGGCTAATAATTTTTTTTTTCAAATTATCTCAGATATTTTTTGTAGTGATGGAAAGTTGACCAACATAGTAGTGGAAAAATAAACTGGAGGGGCTGGGGATTTAGCTCAGCGGCATAAGCGCCTGCCTTGCAAGCAGGCAGTTGTGAGTTCGATCCCCAGTACCGATACAAAGGAAAAAGACCAAAAAAAAGAAAGAAAAGAAAAATAAACTGGAGCCAGCCGCCCTTGGGTTCTAGGGCAGGTAAGCTGTTTTATGTTTTGTGGTTATTGGACATTACTAGAGAATTTTTAGCAGGGGTATGGAATCATATCTATGTGTACAGAAATGACACTCACAGTGGACTTTATAATAACTCTGCTTGTGCCCACAAATCCATACCTGGGTTGCTGCCTGTCCTGGGGTGACATGGATCTGCACTAACAATCCCTACCCTGTGGTAGGGTGCTGAGTTGGGAGGTCCAGGGTTGAGTGTGACATAGAAGCTTGGGGAAATATGAACTCTTCAAGGTGGAAAATACGTTTCCAGACTCTAGGAATTATATTTCCCAGAACATATTTCAGTGCCCATTAACATGCACTAATTGGCCATCCTCCTCCAAAGACTCCTTTCATACATTGTCCCCTCCTCTCTACTGCTTCAGTTACTCCCATCCCTGGGGACACCCTTCCCAACTTTTCTCCTGGTCAGTCTTTACATACCCTATAAAGATTCTGGTGGAGCCACACACTTCAGAAAAGTCTCGTGATTCACACCACTTATGTCCCTGCCTGTATACCCAACTATCCTTCCAGATCGGCACTCTCAAACTTCAGCAGGCATTAGAACCACAGGGAAGGTTTTCCAACATGCAGACTGGAAGTTTGCTGAAATACGTATTCTGATTCAATGTGCACACGAGTACTATATTTCTGACCAGTTCCCTGGTGATGTTATGGTTGTTACTCGGGGATCAAATTTTAAGAACAGTTCTAAACTATAAGCTACCCCCTCCCATCCAAGGCAAGGACCATAATAACTTTTTACCTTCATATTTCTATTCTTTTGTGTAATGACTGCCCACAGACCAGTGCCTTCACTCAGTGTTTTTAGAGTTGAAGTATGACCACAAATGGCTTTGTTGACCCAAATCAGTCTGATTTCCATAGAAAGCCCCAGGTATGTTTCATTTTGGACCCACAATCCTTTTAATTTTAAAAAATTAGTTATCTTCTTTTTTAAAAGTTAAGACATTTCACTTATAATTATATATTTCCAGCTTCCTTAGAATATCTGAGGAGAGCTTACAGAATAGCAGTGGGTGAACACTGGGGTGCCCACCCATGAGTGCTCAGGATGCAACTCTTTGATGACTACTACTGAAAATTTATCCTCTCTGCATGCAAAAAGGGAAGTTCAAATAATAAAAACTCAACAGAGACCTGGACTACAAGAAGTAACTGTAGCCACCTTTGCAAAGCCCTTCCATTCCCAGACCATAACTTCCCAGACACATCTGACAGCCTACTGACAGGACAGCCTCCAAACACTGCTGTTTGCCTTATATTGAAAAAAAAAACATACAACAAGCTTTAACAATGAAGTAGATGCTCTATTTTTTAGGCACATTAGATCTAACTAAAATGACTCTGTGGATTTATGAAAAGTTGTCCATGCCATAGACATGGCACAAAACACAGAGGTTCCAGATCAGTATGCATGATGTATTCTATACTGTTGAGTTCACAATTAGCCTACATGTATATAAGCAGGGAGAGATGAACATATGTATCACCAAATATAGAAAGCATTATTTTTCTGCATGGCAGCATTTGAGAAGATTTATAACATTTCTGTACTTCTCTACATAAACTCAATAGGTTATAAATATGTGCCATGTTTATAAGCAGGAAAAATATTTTATTAAGGGGGTAGAAAACAATTGACTATTGCTCCATTTCAAAAAATTTACATCGTGTACATAGATGCTGTATTCCAGATTCCAGGGCATCTGCCACCTTCATCCAAGAGGACTAATGTAAAAATCAAGATATGAGTCTTGCCAGGTACACTGATACATGCTTATAATCCCAGTGACATCAGAGGCTGAGCACTTCAAGTTCAAGCTCAACTTGGGCAATCAAATAAGACCTGATCTGAAAGTTTTAAAAAATTTACAAGGGTCATGGATATCACTTAGAGCAAAGGCCCAGGATTCAACAGGAAAGAAGGGAAGAAAAAAAGGGAGACATCTCCCACATCCATGGGTTTCCTCACATTCTAAGTCAGTGACTTGCCCCTGGAAGCTTTCTGAATTACCTGAAGGACTTTACTAATTCCTGATGCCCCTAGCACATCCCAGAGAAGTCAAACAAGAGCCTCTGGGAATGAACCCCAATACTAGAACTTTTTAAGTTGCCAGTGATGCTATCAAGTAGCCAGGATTGAGAAGCACTAGTGGGGTAACTTCATACATCTTTATTAAACAAATATTAAGGGGCAAGATTTCTTCAAAAATAATACCCAGAAACAAATTCCAAGGTAACGACTTGCCATGGAGATCACAGAACTGAGACAGGAAATTAACTTAGAGCAATGAGCATCCTAACCCCAGACAAGGAAGTAGCCGCTGATGTCCCAGCTACGCCAACAAACAATTCAGAAAGAACAGGGAAGAGTGTGGGGGAAGGATGCGTAGTCATACAGGTGTGTGGTAGCCTGGGCAGGTGCATACTGCTTTGTAACCAAAACTAGTACCAAAACACTTCCACCCTTGTTTTGAAAGCCCTGGCACCTGGGTGAACATAAATGCAGCTGAAGCTCTGGGTGCCAGGGCAAACACACAG